ACAGCTAAATGTATCAAAAGCATGTTTATGTAATATTAGAATTTTCTGAGACAATGAATTTTGTTTTTTCATTTTTTTTCCCCTGTAAGAGGTTTTTATTTAATAGAATTATTGGACAAAAAAATCGCAATACATCGCGATATATTGCCTTGCTTACAGTATCGCAATATATCGGGATATATCGTATCGTGACCCCTCTGTCATGATATGTATCATATCGCCAAATTCGTGCCAATACACAGCCCTATTCCTTACAGCACCATTGAATGCGTATGCAGGGCTAGTTAGTGTTGTTGGAGCAGCCTTCTCCATAACTGGTGGCAATTTCGCCGTTTACATTGGACTAAAAAATTTTTTTTAATCCTGTTTTCGCCATCACTAAATGTAGTAATACCTCTTCAGTGATGTGCACAGATAGACGTCATGGGAAGCAAATTTGCCCAATGATCTTTGCTCAAACTTCCTTGTTAATAACGTCAAATACACATACAGTAATTGAACATATTTCTCAGCCCTAATAGGTTTCTAAAATGTATTCTTCAAATGTTAGGATAAGTGAAAATAAATCCTCTCAACTGTATAACAAATCAGTGATCTATAAGAAAATTGTGTGTAAAGGTAAGTTTGGACATTTTATTTTGAATTTTGAGGATTAGATTGAAAGTGATGGTATTAGAGGTCCTACGAGAATGGACATTTTTTAGCTCAAATCTGCAGCATCCGTAACAAGAAGCGATACAGTTCCATCTAAATGAAGTGTCTGCACTTCTGCTTGAGTGTGAAAAACATCTCCATTCAAACCAACAGCTATAAGGGTCCTGCAAGAGCACTTTCCTGCCATAATGTTTCCTCGATGCATGTCCATCATAATAAAAACTGTTTAAGCTTGTACACAACTTACTGAGTGAGCACAAGGAGAGCTGATGGAGAATATCAGTAGCTGGAATATAAACACTTCACACGCAAAAACAAAAAATATTAAAATGATATCTGCTCAGCTGCACTTTGAATAAATCCCTGATGCAAAGTTAAACTTGCACACACACACACACACACACACCAAGCCTTTGATCCAAAGCTTCTTAGAGGGTTTTGCAGATTTTTTCACCCCGAAATCAGATTCTCCTGGCCCCAGAACACGATACTAGTATCATAAGTCGCGGGGAGGCTTGAGGAGTGGGTCTGTGACACGATCGACCCAAATTCAAAAGTAAAGACCAGACCCTGAGGACAGCTCAATCACACTTTAACCTGTCTCCAGTACAAAACTCAAATACTCATGTTTTACACCAAAGGAGGCTTTTGAGACTTTTAATGGTAGTTTTCATTTCATCGACATCATCATCATCTTGGAAAATGTGGTCCAATATTAATATAACCTTTCTACAAACTTACTTTAGTCCACCGAGTAGCACAAAATTGAGCTTAATGTCAGTTCTGCATATTCCAGGTTAAACTGAAAATACAGTAAATACAGAATAGGGCATGAAAATTCAGATCATGTCAGCTTGATACTTGTTAGGTCTGTAAAAATAACCTAAACAAAAGGTGCATTGATCAGGCAGAAAAAATAAGTTATAGGCTAAAAATGTTGGTTTTAGCAAAAATCACAATGCATGCTTGTTTATATATTTTTTAAGTGAAACAAATGTCACATTTTTTAATCAGCACTTTTATTTGGTGATTTATGTTTATTTAACCAAACTTTWTTGGTAATCAAATATTTAAACAATAAAATATAAGAATCTTGATTTATAACAAGTGTTTTGTAGTAAAGATGAGGTGTGTTGTTTTTATACCAAGTGGCGAGAAGTATGGGTGTGAGGGGTGCTGCAGCACTCCCTGACGGAAAACATGGGATAAACCCAACACAAGTACCTACTTAAAGGCACAGTGTGTAGGATTTGTTGTTTTCAGCGACATCTAGTGGTTGAGTGGTTGAATCATCCTCCCTGGTCCTCCTCCCACCCCCACCCCCCG